AACTCTACTAGAGCCAAATTCACATTTTTCAAGGTATGTTAACTCAAAGCTTATTAGTGTCCTTAAAATTGTAAAGAAGCATACAAAATGCATTGCGGTCGGTTATGTGCTGACCACGTCAGATTTTTTTAATAATGTAGTAAAACGCTAGATTGTTTTTAAAGGTAGTACTTTGTTGAAGGGAAAAGTGCCACATTACAAACTATTAGTTTGACCCAACTTTATTTATTAATGTTAACCTCACCATAATTTAAATTAATAGATACAAGTATAGCTAAAACAAGTATGGAAAAAGTAACGAGTTTTTCTTGGAAAGTGTAGTTGTATATTTTTGCGTATTTTTTAAAAGTTATAAAACAAACCTAATACAATCGAAAGAACCTCGATTTTCTAAAATGCTTTAGATAGTCTAATATGTCTGTTATGCAAGACTGTTATGTAGTAGAGTATTGTAGTAATATAAGACATATTGTATATATTATTAACAAATCAATATAAGCAGCATATTGTACGTAATATGTTTAATATTATCATTATTTTTTTAATGGAAAACGTAAGGATCGATTTAATTAGCGAATTAACGGAGCTTTGCACTAATAAAAACTTATTTTCATTTTCTTTAAAAAAGAGGATAAATATAAATAAATGTAAATATGGTTTTTAGAAGGGTTATGCGATATAATTTTTCCCAAAAGTTTGCAAACAACTTCTAACTGCGAACAATCTCTAATTCCTAATATTAAATTTTAAGAAATTTGGTTAAAATCTCGTTCTTTAGATATGACAAGAAATGTAACCTCTGAGCTCCAATATTTCTGAAAAATTTATTACTCCATTTTTTTAACAACCTGAAATGAAATATGAAATTTTTGTTGCAGTTTTCGGCTCAGAATTTGCAAAAAGACCAAAAGAGTCATATTCCAAACACCAAAACACTTTTATTTCACTTTAAGCGAAAATGTGAACTATTTATAAAATCGAGGTAACTCTGTTCATTTTATATGAGTATGTCGGAAGGATTAGAATGATACCGTCACCGAAGGCTTTTATGCACTTTCTAACACTCTGTATTATCTCGTCGAAAGTTAATATTAAATATTTGGAGAAATAATAAAGCTAGATTCATAAAACACGGCAGTCGCGCGTCCAATTTCAGCTCAGATATATTTCTGAAGTTTTATTCAAATTACTCGACAGGTTCGGGTAGCTGCCATACAACTGCGAAAGTTAATTTTAAATATTTGGAAAAATATTAGAGCTAGATTCGTGAAACTCGGCAATTGTGTGTCCAATTTTAGGTTAGATATATATCTGAAGGTTTGATGGAATGACTTGTCACGTTCAAGTAGCAGCCATATAGTACAATTCCAAAAGAAAATTTTAAATATTTGGAAAAATATTAAAGGTAGATTCAAGAAACTCGGCTGTCGTGTGTCCATTTATCGGTCAGACATAATATCCGTGAAGTTTCTATTGAGTGGTTTGACAGATTCAAGTAATTGTCATTTAGCAATTAAAGTTACTTCTAAATATTTCAAAAATAAATTTTTAATCCCAGATTGCCAAAGTGTAGGATTTATTCAATCGGTTTATACCGAGTGAAACGTTTTTACGTATTCTAAATATATTTATTGAAAACTTACTAGTATCCCTAAAATTTGCGAGAAGTATATAAAAACCGTTTTCATAATCTTATGCAATATCTTCGTTAAATTATACAATAATATCTGCGGTCGGTTAAGTGTTGATTATATAAAATTTTATTTTTTTCAATTAGGTTCAAAAAAAGGCCAATATATTTAGGTTCAAATTATTTTTTATTTTTTCCTTTTGTCATTGTAAACGTCATAACATTATGAAATTTAATTTTCGGAGGAATCGGTGGTTCCAGATGGAATAGCGTTTAAGCAACAAATTCTAAAACTGTATGATTTTGCGCAGTTATCGGCACCTGTAACTTGTGCTTTACAAGTTTTAACAATGTTAGCTGCGGTGGTACTACTTCCAGTTGCTTTTTTAAGAACTTTATTTGCTACTTCATCTTGAACTTCCCCATCTTTCATAGTTCCCAGAGCATTACTTACACAATCAATATAACACTGCATCGGTTTTGTAGCATTAGCAAATTTATTTTTTTTAGCTGCCTTATATTCGTTACTAGTAATATTATTACTCTTTAGGCAATCATTCTTGGCTTTAGCATAAGCAGCACTTTTACTACCACCCTTAGCATAAACTTGAATCTAATTTGGTTAAAGAAAATTATATTCGCTACTTATATGAGAAATGTTTCTTCTATTTGCAAAAAACTTACCAAAATGAAAGCAAACAGAATCGAAAATATCCAGATAAATTTCATTTTTACAGTTTTGCTGCAATTTACTTATGATGTGAAAGAATAAGTGATTCTCTAAGCCTTTCTACATCCAACTTATATACAAACTTATTTGCTCTAACTAAAATTAAAATTTTTTATTATTCTAAACATGTTTTGCTTTGTATTTTATTATATAATTAATAGTTTTGTTAAAATTAAAACTAAATGATCATTATCTGTGTTTTATACAATGACAGTACTTGTATTTGCGATGTCACCTATTGTGTTAACATAAAAAATTTTTTTTCAATAATTTTAGTTCAACTAATTGAACAACAATAATTTAGTTTAAAAAATATACTCGCGAAAAGACAATAATGGTTGCTGTTATTGATGATTTTAATGCTGTTCATGATTCCTACAATTTCGAAGTCTATCATATATACGGAATTTGGGTGCAAATACCTAATTTAAAAGGGAATAGGAAACCTGAAAAAAAATGAGAAAGAATTAAAAATGCTTATGTAGTTTTAATATCAAAATTTTCGGTACAACTGCAGTACCTTAAAATAAATTCAATTTCGTTTTTTGAAGAAGAATTTAATTTCGACGGTAGTAAAAGTTTACTTGCTGACACCTGATTTCTTTAAAAAGTTAGTTGCCTTGTTCTGGTGGATCGCGTTTTAAAAATATCATAAAAGTACACTGACTGTTTCCGCTGACGTAAAATCGACCAGTAGTAAGTATCTAGTTTCCTAACATGCAAAATTTTGATCAAACCGTCTTATCGTTGAAGTAAACTCAGATACAAAATTTCGTGAAAACCTTTCAAACATGAGACATTGATCTGCACAATTTGCCTGACAGACTGACAAACAGACAGACACAGTTATTATTTAAACTTTTCTAGCTTGGAGAAACACAATACCACGGAAAGCTCGATATGTAAAATTTTGTGCCACATAACTTTCCTTATTATATGCAATGCTGTTGGTAAGATATATTTTAAATGATATCATTTATTAGAAATAACAGCTACTTTTAATCTAGTACAATTATTTCTTTCAATTGCTCAAGAATTTTTAAGCATATTTTTGGCTTCCCTGTTTTTCCCTAGTTCATGTACTTCGAATGTTTTCACTATAGACATTTTCAAGACCAGTATATTTTTGTTGTCCTTATGTCGAAATGTTCATATCGTTTTTAGAATTGTGCCACACGACAGCCGTCAAATGGTATATTAGCAAGAAGTACTCAAGAATTAAACGACAAGTACTTTATCAAAAGCCCAAAAAAAAACAAGGAAATTGACTAAAAATTTATTTAGTTTGCCTACTCTAATATTTATAACTGAAAAATGTTCCCAGAATAAGTGTTTCAAAAATGTAATCAAAGGTTCATGGTGAAACTTTTGCAGAGCAATTCAATTCTACACAACCAATTTCTACCGACCGTATTATGAATTCAGTCGAGTTTTCGACGGGAACGCACTTCTCCATAGTGGGGAAGCGTAAATAAACTATTTTTAGAGAGGTGTCGGTTTACCGGTCCGTATCAGTCTGTCAGTCTGTCTGTTTATCTGTCTGTGTGTGCACGCTTGTATCTTAAGTTCGGCTGAACCGATTTTGATAAAATATTATGTGTAAGCAGATTTCGACTATTTCACGGATTGAACAACTTTTGGGGTATATCAGACCTCCGGAACTGGATTTTTTAGCGGCCTGTTTGGGAACTGAATCTTTTAGTCGGAACTGGATTTTAGAGAGGCGGAACGACACCTCTCTGAAAGTAGTTTAATTACGCTTCCCTACTATGGAGAAGGAAAACTCGATATACAAAATTTGTTGCCATTACATAACCTCCGGGAATGCGGAATGTGGAAAAAGGAAATGCAGTGAAAATTTATTTTTTAGTTTTCCTACTCTAACATTTATAAGTGAAAAATGTTCCCAAAAAAAGTGTTTACAAAATGTAATCAAAGGTTCATGGTGAAACTTTTGCAGAGCAGTTCAATTCTACACAGTCACTTTTTTTTTCAAATATGTCAAATATACTTTTTAGAGTGTCTCTTGAAATATCCTTTACTTTAAACTACTTATTTTATTTTAATTATTCAATATTATGTGGCAGAAATTTTCAAAGATCTTATTGCAAGTTAACCTAATAACATACATATATATATTTTTATAATTTCATAAAGTATAATTTATCGTCTTATAATATTATGTAAAAATTATGAAAAAATGAAGTTCATAAAGTTGAGTACATTTGCTTATAGAAAGCAGTCATTCTTGTTTTGACCTAAAACGCATTCTTTGAGAATTTTAACTTTTAATTCATAATATATTGTGAAAATTATTTACTATTTTTTGAAAATTAGATCTTTTGTAAAAATTGTTAATATTATTTCATCGAGACGAATTCTTGCACCGTTGATAAATTTCAATTATACCCTGTTTGAAGCTAAATAAAGTATCAAATAAAGTCTTATGATTTATATTAATATTATTAATACAAGGCTTCTCATTTTTGTAGCTAACTGTTTGGTTTTCAATCAAATTACTTACTGATCTTAATTACTTATTAGATTAAAAATAAAAATACCAATTCATTTTTTTTCATAATGAAATTTAATAGTTTTCTGGAATTTCCGTCTTTATTATTATATTTTATAAAAATTTAATTAGTTTCCAGATTTCTCAGATAAAGCCAAATTTAAACAATAATGGAATTTATAGGCTTTAGCGCAATCATTGTTGTCTGGTAAATCTGCCATGCAGTCCTCAACAATTGACGTCGCTGTCGCTTTGCCCAGTTTTTTCTTTTTTTCCTTAATTATGACTTCTTTTTGTATTTCACCATCTTTCATTAAATTCAGTTTCTTATAAAAACATTCCATAAAACATTGCATAGGTTCTGTGGCATCTTCTGATGCATTATGCATTAAATTCAGATATTCTATTAGCGAAATATCAATTTCTTCTGAACATTTTTTTGTTGCTTTTAATTGTTTATTCCTCAATTTTGCCAGATTTTCAGGCTAAAAATTTGAAGAATTTTTTTAATATTTCGAGCGTTTAATTACAAAAATAAAGTATACAACTACTTACCACATTAATTAGAAAAACATATAGAATAACAAAAATCAAAAAGGTATTCATAACCACCAAAAAAAATTAAAAAAATATTTTATTCAGTTGAAAAAAATTTTCTATCTAAAGTTTTGACGAAGTTTTAGCTTTTATATAAAACTTGTCAAAAACAAAATTTTTTGTTCTAGGAGTTTTTAGTTAGTTACTATTACTTAATTATTTAGTAGTTAAACTATTAGTTACTTTTGTAACTAATTATTTAAAAATTTTTAAATAAAACTTTGAAATTCTATAAATAAATAAACAATTTTAAAGCGAACATAACAGATTTTTCCAAGGTCACTTTTTGTTAAAGCTCAAATTAAAAAAACGATACTCGTACTATAATAAGAGCCAAAATATGCTCTTATTTATTTTCTCTGTAGCTGAGTCAACTTTGGCTAAAGCGAGTTGGAAGGACTCTTCCGTTGTTTGTGAGAAGTTCTAGTTAACATATGAAATCAAAGTACTTAACTCACATTAAAATGAAGATTGGGGTTGATGTACAAAAAATAAAAAGTCGTCGCCCACTTTAGGCTAATAATTGTATGGCAGTTAACAAATCAATCTGAATAAGATTCTGTCAATCTCAATAAGATTCGTGTCATTTCAATAAGATTCTGCGTAACAAGAACTGAAACTGGCTGTTTCAAATAAAGGTGGGTGATATGGAGTTTTGAAGTATTTCACAGACAGTCCTTGCTAAGTTTGAAATAAGGCTTTAATAATGAGGATTAGAAAAAATCTTAGATTTGAGTCTACTCATATTCATAAAAAAAGAAATCGACTACTATCCCACTTAAAAACTAAAATGAAGGCAAAAAAAAAAATTTACGTTAATGTGAATAGTAGCAGTTACTTAATAAGGGCAATAAATTTTTTTTTGTGGGAGCAAAATCAACAAATATTTCCAGTTTTATTCTAGATTTCAGATTTTTTGTATTGTAAATTGATTTCTAGATTGTTGTATTGAAAAAATATCTGTGTATTTTGTATTTTACCAAAATGTTTAAAAAGCTATTTAGCAACGTATAATTAAAAAAAAATATCTCATGTGGTCAACACATAACTATAACCGGGAAGTGCATTTTCATGTTTGGCGAAAATGTTGCGTAAAATTATGAAAATGTTCTTAAAAACTTCCTTAAAATTTCAAGGATACTAGTAATTTTTACCAAACAAATAGAAATTTGAGTCTTAGTAAGGAACCTCTACGAATACTATGCAAGTCGCCTGAGAGGCAGTGGTGTACAGAATTGACATATTGAATATGCAGAAATTATTCGAGTTAGTTCAATAGATACAAGTAAAAAATAAAATAAAAGTACCCTTTAGTGAAAGCTCGCGTCGGTTGTATAGTCGTGATGTTCTTTAAACTAATTTGATTTTATAAAATTTACGCGTTCCTTTGTAAAAAGTTAATTACAATAAGAATGACGTCCGTTGAAAAGCTTTTGATATCAAATATGAACCCTAATTAATCTGATAATAAAATTGTATAAATATCAAATTTTCAAAAAAATTGCATACATTTAGGATAATTTTTTAATATTGTTCCACAAACTTGTTTGCTATAAAAATATTTTTATGCGGCTAGCAATGTTTTATTTCTTAAATTTACAGAAAACAATGAAATAGTAATTTGAAATAAAAAATACAACGGAAAAAATAAAATTTGAGAAACATGAAAAACAACTTATTATTATTCAAATGGTGTCCATTTACGGGTCAGGCAAGTAGACAAAAATATAAAAACAATTTCAAAATGTATAAATATGCATACTTACATTTCATTTTAATGTAAACGTGTGTGTGTACGTTAATTCACACACACACAGCCGTTTAATAAGAAAAAAAATATCGCGCGATAAACCAACATTCAGTTCTTTTCTATTGTTAAGCTGATGAGATATAAAAAGCTTTTAAATGAGAAAGTAAGTGGTTTTCGTGATTTGAAGCTATAATTATTAAAACAAGCGAAAAAATAACAAGAAAATGAAAGTTTGTTAACTATTTTTTTTAACTCATTTTTTTCTTTTTTCTATTCAAATGTTAAAAAAATTTGAAAAAAAAAATCGAATTTTGTTATTCATTTTTTATTTGCTTTTCTTTCTTACTTTATTGAGCGACTGCCCACTTTTAGCCTTAAAATGAACAAGTAATAATTTAAGATTGCCGAATTATAAGTAACAAAACAGAAAACAGTTTGCTAATATGGATGATTTTTAACTTGCAGGCAGACAGTAATGTAGTTTAAATGGTGTATTTTGAATATTTGTAGAACATGAGAATGTTCGTTAGAGCTCTGTGTTATTTCCGTAGACAAATCATATATTGTCAAAAACTGACTCAAAAATTTTTATGTAAAACATTATGGCAGCTTAATATTATTTGATTTTTTTCTAATCGTTCCTTGTGTTTAAAAGTTAGCCTGAAAAATATTTTTGAATACCGTTCTAACAACTTTAACCATTCTTCAACTTTATTTCTATTTTAATAAATTTGATTCTATTTTGTAAAATATAAATAATGTTGTGCTGGTAAGACTGAATTTGATCGCATTTTTAATTTAAAACAGATGAATTAAAAAACAAAAGTTGTTTGAGTTTTTTATTATGTTGTCCTTTTGTTAAATTGTTAACTCACTCCTTTTCCATTAACGTACTTAAAATAATCTTATAGCCAAACAAATGTCTATGTGTGTGGTTTAACTAGATTTTATTTTTGTTTCTGTTTCCTTTTTTTGTTAGTTTTATTTTATTTTTTTTTTCATAGAAAATAGAAGATGATAAATTTGTTGCCAATTAACACTTCTTTTGTATTTTAAACGCTTTGAATATTAAATGGACGTTATAATAGTATAATGAATGGTGTTTTGCACGTAATTTTCTTTAGCACGTTTTTATAGTTTTTCTACTTAAAATGAATGGATCTGTAAAATAGAATGCGTAAAAGACAAAATATAAAAAGTGATGACAATGTTGTTGAGAATGTTTTAAAAAATCCAAAGCAATTGTGTAATTATACCCTTACGAATGTATGTTTGATTTAACTTTGTCTGCCCGTCTGTCCGCCCATCCATCCGTACCAACGATATCTAAAAATTTAACTGAGTTCATTCTAAGTTCACCAAATTTTCACAAATGATTTATTAGTATAAATTCCAGAATGCTATTTAAATTGGTTATGATCGTGGCAATGGTTCAGGTACCTGCCATGCAACTTCCAAATTTATTTGGCTATATCTCAGAAATTATTAGAGTTAAAATATAGAAAATTCGTGAAAACAAGCATATTATTGTGGCTGTTATGTGTGATAAAAATTGTTGAATTTTCTTGACTTCTTGTGGTAGTTGCCATAAATACTTGGTCATTCTTTCTTAAAAAATACATCGATTAAGAAGTAATTGACTTGAAATTATTAAGGGGCAGCCATTTAAAATATTTATATCTAGAATAAATATCGTGAATAATTGTCCAAATAAGATTTCCCATATTTGTGTTTTAACAGCTCAACATATGTACATACATAATAAATAAATTCCATTTTTGGCATTTTTTTTGTAAAAAGTTCAAAGCCTTTATGCATTTTTTCGCGAATTATCTTTTATTAGTGATTATTTTGAACTCATTTACATACGTTATATATATACAAGTTCTTTCGAAATTAAAATTCGAAAACTTTCCTTGAAAAAACAATATGTTAGTTTCTTCCATAGAAAGTGAGCCTGCATTTTACTCGAGAATTTTAAGAAAATTAAAAAAACTGGAAATATTTTTTATGAATATTACAAAATAGCAAATTATTTTAATAGCACAAGAAAATAATTGAAGTTTTTGTTCCATTACCACTAAGACGCTTAGTACGTGATTTTCAAATATTTCTCAGCACATTGCAATGATTGCAAAAGCGAAGAGTTTTCCTCTGTCTAATTAGAATAAAATTAGAATAGAATTGAACTAAAAACTTATGAGCTATTTTAATCTATTAACTTACCTATTCAGACAAAATATAAACAAAATTTTCCTTTGCATTCCTATTATATAGTTAAAATAAAAGTTATTACAGTACACAAATAGCCTCAAATAGCTCTTTTCATTTTCACCTATTACTTGGAGTAACTTCATTATAAATTTGTTTCTTCTTTGAATTCTTCAATTAATACAGAATGGTTTGCTATCCCTATGCTCTTGTGCAGAAAATACAATTGTTCCAATTTCAGTTTGATAAAGTAAAGGTATAATTCTAAATCTTTTCCTCTTTAATGAAATCATTGAACAATTGTGGGAAGGTACGTACAATAAAAAAATAACTATAGTTCTATTATTTCATAAATTAATATTAAAACTTATTGAAAAGTTTTAAATATTCATAAACGATAAACATTTGAATTAGCATTTTTATTATATTTTCAGTTTAATATTTCATAAAAATTTATATAATATTTTTAAGGCAGAAAAACAAAAATTTAATTCAATTAATATTTATATTAGCAATTATTCATTAACGTTTCAAAATTGTATTTTACATACATGCAAACAATAATAAAATTATAATATGAAATTTCAGTTATAATTATTAAATTCATCGTTTTCCATCAACTTAATTTCAATAATTGATTTAATTTTTTTGTTATATATTTTTTTCTTTTATTATTATTAAGATTTAGATTTTTTATTATGATAAAGTAACGCCTTTAATATTAATATATTCCAATGATATATATATATATATATATATATGTATTGTGAAATGTACATATATACATAATATATTTAATAACATTTTAATAATATTTTAGTGTGGTTGTGTAGTAGAAAATAATATAAATATTAGTATAGTGCTACTAAACATTTACTTTATATCCTTTAATTGTGGTTAAATTGTAATAGAGAATAACAATTATTTTAGGTTAACAAAAAATAAAAAAAAAAAATAAAAAAATTATTTTATTAAAAAAATTTTTATTCATTATTTTTAGTTTTGTTGTTTTTTTTTGTTTTGTTTTGTTCCTATTTTCCTTCATTTCAGTTGACAATTATTTAATGTCACGCTATAAGAGTTATGAATACGAAATGACCTCGTTGACATTGCACGGATCTAATAAAATAACTCTGAAAATGAAAAAGAATAACGGAATTCATAAAGGATTCCAGAAAGAAGAAATTAATTTCAATTTTTTTTTATTATATTTTTTTTTGTAATTTTTGTTTTTTCAACTAGTTACTGGTTAAAATAAGAAATTATATCAATTTAATTCTATTTCAAGTTATATGAATTGTAGTCAGAGAAGAGTTTCGGACATTTTAATAAAACTAATTCCTTAACTCAATTATAAAACATAAAGGTATACTTATTAAAATTTTATATAAACTGCGGTTTAAACTACATATTTTGAGTCAAGCTTAAATAAAGGAATTTATTATTTTTGAAAGAAGTAGTAAATAAGTGAAGTACAGGGGAGCATTTTTTTCCGGATTCATTTAAAAACCGTGCGTATGTCTCTGAACTTCTGGACATATAAAATATCAAACTTATTCAAATCAGAATGTTATAAAAAAACGCTCAATTTGATATAAAAACAAAAAAAATTTGGCGATAGTAAAGGAAGAGATTTTTATTTTCATTTAAAATCATTAATTATAAATTAGTATTTCTTCAGTAATCACTACTTGCATCTGCAAAAGTTTTCGATTTTTGTAATAATAGGGGTTATTTTAAAATCAAATTTCTTAATTTAATGAGTTTCTACATTAAAAAAAATTTATTTAAAAAAATGTGTACTTTTATTGACAAATACAAGATGAAGTTTGTAATAAGGTTTTCTGTAGACATTCAATTAATTCACATACATACCATATTCTTAATTAAAAATTCAGGCATTCAATTAAAAATCACATAACAATTAAATATATGAGTTAAAATCTAGTGAATACACTTGATTGTAGTTTACATTGTACTTAAAACAATTTTTGTCTTTGAAGTTCAAGTCTGATACTCGTATATCAACGCATAATTTATATACAGCTCTCCTCCCTAAAAAATATTCCGGTACAATAAAGCAAACTTTGTTCAGCTCTGCGCAGTTTTTGCATTAAAATGAGTACGCATGGTATTAGTGTATTAAGCACACTACTTATTAATTTCACAACTATGATGTTGTATTAGTAAAATTCATAATATAAATTTTTTTATTTTCATATCCTTATAGTAAAAAAGTGATTAATTTAAACCGGGTGTTCCCTTGAAGGGGGTGCAATTACAAGATAATAAATACTCTAATAGCAATAGAAAATTGTGCCAGTTTTTCGAATTGAACTGCAGATTATTTTATAAATTATTCACATACAATTTGTTACATAAATTTACCTACTAAACATACATGTAATTGCGTAATGGAAGTCTAACCTTCTGATTGAATAACATTGAGTTAAGAAAAATGGTTTTTCATCCTTTTGATGAAAATTTTGACAAAAATATTCTCTTAATATTTTTTGTAACCTATAAAATGAGAGGAGAGAATATGAAATTGAAAACCAAACCTGCTCATAATGCAAAAATTTATAATACTTTACCTAAATTTGAGTTTCGATTCTTGTTTTCATTTCTGATTACTTCATAAATTGTCACATATAATTTTAGTTTCTTGAGTTCCTTTATAATTATACTCACCTGAAAAAATCCAAAGTATAAAAAAAAGTATATAAAATATTAAAAGGAAAAAAATTTCCAAAAAAAAAAAATAAATAAATAAAAAAATTCTTGAAATGATAAAAAGCCACAAAAACTTAAAACACGGAAAGAATTATTATGACGGCGATTTAAAAAAAATAAAAAAAAAATATTATCTCGAAATAAAAATAGAAACGAAGAAATTTAGAGAAAATGTAAAAAAAAATGAAAGTAAAAAATGTCAGCCAACAACTAAGAAAAGGAATTTTACAAATAACTGTGAATGTACAAAAAATAAAATCATATACGGTCTTTTTAAATATTTACACATGCACATTTATACATACATAGTTTAAGTTTTTATAATGTGTATATGCTTACGTGTTTTACTTATTTCATATACTTTTTTAATGAAATTAGAAAAAAAAACTCGAAAAGAAAGTCTTTCAAAAAAAACGTAAAGTAAGAGAAACAATACACATAAACAGGATCAGGACTCGTGATAAAAAAAAAATATTGAAGAAAGTCAATTTAGCAGCAATGAACAAGGTAAAAATACCTTCATAGCTACCATTCTGTCGCTCATATAGACACTAATTTCAGTCAAGCGTTTTTCAATTGTATACAAGCGAATGTCCGTTGAAAAAAATCCTGAATGGATAGGTAACGTAACAGAAATAGTAAAACAGAACCATGAGAACAATAAGGATTTGTTTGGTTTGGAATTAAAACGCATAAAAAACACAATACGCAAACACACAACTCTCATTCATAGTAATGTACAAATAATCATATTATAAAACGCTTGTATATCGCATTATTATGAATATAATATGTAATTATGTGTGTGAGAATATTTACATTTCATTCGTAAATTCATGCATACACCATGTTTTTTTTGTTTCATTTTAACTTAATGTAAATGTAAATATTTCTTTCATTTTTCTGGCAGACTTTATTTAAAATTAAATATATGCACGTGTATATTGGTATGTTTGCATTACTGTATTGAAGTACAAGTGAAGGTACCTATTTATTTATTTAAAACCGTAGTTACTTACATATACATACTTCTATACATATATACTTATACATATAATTTGTGTATTACGTAAGTATAGTAGTTAGTAAATAATATTTTATTCAAATTTATATTCAATTTTATGAATGATATCTACTAGAAACGTTATCGCATTAAGTCATGCAATATTTAATTTTCTCCTGTTAAAAATATATAATAGTCACAGCTGGCCCTTTATTCTCACTTTTGATACAATTTTATTTTGAAAGTTGATGAAGAAAAGTAAAAGAATTTTTTATATTTTTTCAATTGTATTTAAAGCACATTTTTTATTAAGTTCCATTTTACTCAAAATCGCAAAGAGGAAAAAAAGCAGAAAAACAAAAATTTAATATAATTTATTCTTTAATTCGTCCTTCCCTTTATATCATATGAAGAACCTTAAAAAAATATATTAATTTAATGCATTCATTAATGCACTGCGGCTTAAACTGATGAAAACTCTAGTTAATTTGCTCTAAAAAATATGTAAAATTTACGTACTTTTAACGCGAAAATTCGGCAGACATTTTGTTGTAACACAATTTAATTGCCCTTTTTTATGTAAATGTGTAAGAAATCATCAGATTTCGAGCATTCGTTTCTGCAAGATTCTATAATAATTCTTATTCTTGCTTCTTATGTTGGTTACACATATAAATGTTTTAGATAGTTAAGACATTTTAAGCCGAATATGCCAGCTTATCTGTAATAACTCAAGACGAAATATAAAATTTTTCGTAAATGGCATATGGAAGTCTTGAAAATTTCGAATTCATAGCTGTATCTTGGCCACTCAATGTTCGATTTTAGAAATTCAAATTTTTTCCGAAATAATGTGTCAGTAGTCCGTATTAAAATGTTACACATAAAAATACTGATGGATTGAATGTGGCAAGAAGAATTTACGATACCTTTTACTCTCACAGATTTAGTAAGAATGATAATAATAATAAATGGATTTATATTAAAAAGTAAAATTTGTTATGGTTAAGGTTGTCGTGGTATCCGCAACAATTTTAACAAAACAAAAATTTTGAAAAACCCGTCAGTTCACAATTCAAGCAAAAAAATTTATTTTTTAAGACTCTTTGTGTCTAAAATTGTCGGCAAATGCTGCTTTACGGAGTATTGTTGCAAAATTCTGGCATACTTAACTTTTTTGGGTACTAATTATTATGATATTTAATATTTCGCTTAATTAATATGTCCTTTTAATATTAATTTTAAGTCAAAATCTTTCGGTTGATAATCGATCGCGGTATCGTAATCCCTACACTATTGGTTGTATAATATTAAAAAATAATAGCCTTAAATAAAGATTATATTTCTGTTTATTATTTATTTGATCTTAATATGATAATTTCAAATCGTTCATCAAACATGTGTAAAAACTAAAAGCTTTAAGGCAGTCATTTGCCCCATTCATTTTTCCTTTGCATGCTCTGACAAATTGTTGAAGATTACTTATTGTCAAATTTTCCATCGCTGCCGTTCCACTAATAGTTTGCACGACTGCAGTTTCATTAACATCACCATTTTGATAGAAACCCATTTCTTTGTTGTAACATTCATAAAAACATTTGTATTTTTCATCACCATCTTTGTATCCACTCATATGGTATTTGAAAAACTCGATTTCTGGTATTCCTAAAGTATCGAAACATTGCTTGCGTATAGTGCTGGCATCCGGAATTGAGTGCTGAAAATAGAAGTATGTAAAATGAAAATTTGTATCAAGGTACGGTCTCACGTAGAATTTTGAGAAATTTCAAATGTTTAACTCATAATAAATTATGCGTTTAAGATTTATTTTTCTTTCAATTATATTTTTTGAAAAATTACTAGAATTCTTAATATCAATAAATTTACGACAGAAATGAAATTAAAAATATATAAAGCACAATTTGGAAATCTAACTTACAACGACACGACAAAAGAATACCAAAAATAAAATTTTTGAAACTATTTCTGTTTTAAACATTGCCGACAAAATGTTCTTACAAACTCTTTTAATCAACTAATATTAAATTAAATTAGATTATATTTTAAATACCTAGAAAATATTAAGGGAAAATATCACTTAACAGTTTAATTATATCAATTTAATAAAATTGCTATAATCGTGTAATTGAGCCTGTTATAATAACTAATTATTACTCGGAATTAGAAGCACTTTATTTTATCAATTAATTGAATATTTTTGTTAATGATTCACATATTGCCTGTACCCTACTCTAAAATAAATTAATTCGGTTCAAACTAATGGTTTCCAAGTACACTTTTCCCTTGAACAAATGAAAATACGTGTTTTTAAAAAAAATTTGCTACTAAATTACGTACTTCTGTTGAAATAACCAAATTTTATTTGATGATCTAAAACTAATTGTTACTTAAATGAAGCGTTAACATAATAGACGAAATTGATAAATAAGTACGCGATTTAGGATAATTCTATCTTTCGATGCGATAGCTTTTACAGTTAGATTTTTGTTTTTTTAAGCAATTTGGAAAAAAAAGATGGAAAAAAGTTTTTTTTAATGAAATAAATTGTCAATTTTTGGAAGCTGTTAAAATTTCAAACTTCTACAACTTACTGCCTAGAAGAAAAACGATATCGAAAATTTGAGAAAAAAAGGCTTTAAGTAACAGCTAATTTCAAAGTAATTAGCTGTTACTTAAAGCCTTTTGTTATTGTAATATTTACCTATGTTATATCGTGGCAGAACAAGCGAGTAGCTGTTTTTATACGTTTGCAGAATTTAAAAACGATGTGATAAAATTTTTAGGGCTTTGTGGAATTATAGCTTTTAAAATGGGGAATATGATTAAAAGTTTTAGTTCATAGAAATAAGTTTCTGGTAAAAATCAATTTGTGCATAAAAATTTAGCTTTCCACCTTAAAGTGTTCAGAAGTTTTGTAAACAGGCACACGGACGAATAGATAGCCAGACGAATGGAATGAAACTAATATAGAATTTTTTCATTTTTTTTTTCCATTTCTTTTAAATAGGTCTAAAGAAATACGTAATAAAAGACACAAATAAATTGTGTTAACCAATTAACCTATGAGCTGAGCAAGGTTTGTAACAAAGCAAGCAAAGAGTAAAATAATAGAACAATGCGATGAGGTTACTGTCTCCGATTTCAGGTATTATTGTTTTGACATAAATTTCGCATAACCGCAACAAAATTGTAATATTGTATATCGTCGGTTAAGAAGCAGAAAGCATTAAGTCAGGAAACTGTGTTTTGAGTAAATTCAATTTGAAAAAATCGTAAAATTGTAAAACTAATAAATATTAGTGCAATGGGATTGGTCTCTATTATATGATTATAAACTATTTTTTGCCACAACAAAGATTATATTATTCTGATTTAATGCATCTATAAAATCCGAATTCTCAAAAAATGCACATAGTGCTTTCAGCCTTTTAGCCGACGATATGTGAAAATAAATATTGCATACTTTTAGGGTACAGCCAAGTCATGAAAAGCGTTAACACAATGTTCGAATCCGACAGTTAATTAGTTCAGTTACAAAACATCATTATACAAGATGATTCAGTAGTCCGCCCTTTAACATATAGCAGTTTAGATTTAAGGCTATAAAAATGGGTAACATTTGGATAAATAGGTAAATCTCAACAGTTTAACAAAATATTTTTAAAATATTCAAGAAAGATTTTTTGACATTTGAAGGCTATGTAACACGGAAAAATCAAAGTCTATGTAACAGTGAAAAATTCTGCAAAATTTTTTTTGAAGTTTTACAAAATTTAATACGAAATTGTCGAGTTATTGAATTTTCCAAAATTAGCGTGCTTGGTATCTAAAAGTATATAAAACACAAAAAAAATAAAGTTGGGTCAAACCAATGGTTTGTAATTTAGCACTTTTCCCTTCAGCAAGTGAAAATACTGCTTTTAAGAACAATAAGCTATGTACTATATTAAAATTACCTTCATTCATATACCAATATATTTCAAAAATTGCATACTTTCAGGATGAGCATTGTTAAATACGTTGCAATAAACCAAAAACAATTAAAAGAGGCTTTCAAATAATGCTCGACTTTAAGGCTCAATTGCTTGAGATAAGAAAAATGATTATATTTTTTAAAGGCATGGAGTTTACAGTTAGCTTTCTGCATTTATAGAAATATAAGGTGATAAAAATTCGAATTTTAAAAATTTCAAAAGGCAATAGCTTTAGAGGAGATCGAGGTAGAAAATAATTTTATTTTAACGAAATGAACTAGTTAGTAGTGTCTAAAAGCTGCAAAAATTTTAGACTCTTAAACCATTCGGTACAACTTTTACAGGGGGGCATATAAGTAAATATAGAGTATAGAACATATAGACAATTGACACGTAATATATTGAATTTTTGAATTTTTGAATTTTTTGCAATAAACAATTTTGAATATTGAATTTTTGAATTGTTATTGAATGAAAATCAAAGTAATTTTATTTAATAATCTCTTATCTTAATTTTAGCATTAATTAAATAAT